CCCCCTCCTTCTCCACCAGCTTCTCCCCCTCCTCCTTCTCCACCAGCTTCTCCCTTCTCCCCCTCCTCCTCCACCAGCTCCCTTCTCCCCCTCCTTCTCCACCAGCTTCTCCCCCTCCTCCTTCTCCACCAGCTTCTCCCTTCTCCCCCTCCTCCTCCACCAGCTCCCTTCTCCCCTCCTTCTCCCCTTCCTCCTTCTCCACCAGCTTCTCCCGCTCTTCCTTCTCCACCAGCTTCTCCCTCTCCTCCTTCTCCACCAGCTTCTCCCTTCTCCCTCTCCTCCTCCACCAGCTCCCTTCTCCCCCTCCTTCTCCCCTTCCTCCTTCTCCACCAGCTTCTCCCGCTCCTCCTTCTCCACCAGCTTCTCCCCTCCTCCTTCTCCACCAGCTTCTCCCTTCTCCCCTTCCTCATTCTTCACTAGCTTCTCCCTACTCCACCTACTACTACTAGTACTACTCTAAACTTCCTCCTCCCTCCCCCCTCCATACACTGCTCCTTCGCTACCCTGTACCAGAACTACGAGAGTGCTGACGATGTTCCACTGATACTCCCGAAACGCCGATAGACCGCGTAGCGCTATATCTGGCGGTGGCGTTTGCAAGTTAATTTACGACGCTAAACCTAATGTTTACCCACATTTCAAACACAAAAATGACCAACCGGTCGCTGTGCCTGTGGCTACGACACTTGACGGAATGTCACAACTACACGGCAAGGCCAATTTTACTTCTAATGATTTCTAGACGTCCACGAGGCATCTAACTTGCGTGCATAATGCAAATTATTGCACTCTACTACTCTAGTCTCTAGCAAAAGTAGATAATAACACATTGTCTATTGTGTTATTATCTACTCTTGTCTCTAGACAGTATAGTGCTATGCCATAGTGTAGTGCTTGGACAGTATATGCCATAAAAAAGTCTCAATCCAAAAAAAGGCCTTTTCTAAAACGAATAGACGGTAAACAATTTGCGGAGACTTACTGTTGTATGGCACCTGTAAGGAGAGTGAACCAGTCTAACTCAATCATTGGTCAACGCATAGCCATTGGCCAGTTTGTGATTCCCTGCACCACCTTGTGGCGAACATAGTAAATAGGTAATCTGCCATTCCTCTAATCTACGAAACCTGTGTAAAACTAAAACCAAATCGAAATGACGGCTGTTAAAATGCAGTACTGCGGTTCGTGAGATATATTTAAATTTTATCACGCATGTTTTGTAAACAAAAAGCGCTTTAAAAACAATATGCGGGACGGGTAGTGAAAGTGAGTGGCCTCGTTTTGACCCGGAACAAAATGGCGGTCCCTGAATACAGATTTTCTAAATTTGATAGGAAAAGTTATTAAATATCGTTCGTGTCGTGGTCAATCGCAAATCATAAAGCAGCTATTGCAAGGAAATGCGATGTCAGAGATGAGTACGCAGTAGAGTCTGGCGGGATAGATCCGTTAATCGGCTGAAATGTGAGTTCTGTGTGACCTCTCCCATGATGCTAAACATACTTTTAAGTTTTACATAATCCACGAAAATTCGTTTAGATTGGTGACTGTGGTACTGTGTGCTGTGGTAGATGAGGCTCAGTGAGGGTGACACAACTCCGCAGAAAGGACTGCTTGAAAACGGAAACATGGCCGCATTGACGTTAGTCAACAATAACGTCAATGCGATGAACTTCACCGAAAATCAACACGGAAATGTCATTTTGGAACGACTAAAGCAGCAGAAGGACGCGGGAAGGTTCTGCGACGTCGTGCTACACGTTCAGGGCCGGCAGTACCAGGCGCACAGAAACGTGCTCGCCGCCTGCAGTCCGTATTTCGACTCCATACTTAAGGTTCACCACATCGTCAAGGAGCAGCTGACGATAACATGCCAGAACCACGAGGTTTTCCAGCTCCTGCTCAACTACATGTACACGGGCAACGTCGTCATCGACAAGCACAACGTCTCCGAGCTGCTGAAGCTTGCCAACCACTTCCTCGTCTCGAAGCTGAAGAGCTACTGCGCTGAGTACCTCGACCGGTACCTCGACGTCACCAACTGCCTCAGCGTCAAAGAACTCGCCGAGAAATACAACATGCCCGCGCTCGTCAAAAACGCGACGCACTTCCTGCACAGCAACGTCGCCGAGATCCTCGAACACGGAGAAGTTCTCGCACTCGCCGCTCCAAAGATCGAGACGCTCCTCTCCGATAAGAACGTTGTCGTCGACCAGGAGCGGCTGATCCGCTTCATCGTGCGCTGGATCAAGCACGACGTGGGCACGCGCGATCGCGACATCCGCGCGCTGCTTGCGCTTGTCTCGTGGAAGCGCGTCCCTGACGGCTTTGTCGTGCGACAGCTGGAACGCGACCCGCTCTTCAAGGAGAGTCCGCGCTGTCTCTTCATGACGCTGCAGGCGCTGCGGGAGAACGGACTCCCACTGGGGAAGTACGAAAACCTCCTCGTAGCGCTGGAGGAGAACTGCGGCGTCGACCTGCAGCATTGTGATAACGACGTGTTCATCAACCTTGCCGTGTCGGCTGCCGTCGCCGGCGGCGGCGTGAAGGTTCGTAAGGACGAGAACAACGTGAACAACAACGCGAACAAGAAGTTTGAGTCGTCGGCGGCAGCGGTGCAGACGAACGGCTGGCCGCAGCGCAATCTCAACAACAACTCGCTCGTCAAGGAATCTCAGACGCGTGCCAATGGCTCTCAGTCACCGCACAGAAGGTAGCGTGCAGGGTGTGTGTGCGTGCATGTGTGTGCGTGTGTGTGATGAGTGTGAACGCGCGTGCACAGGTCGAGAGAGCAGACGATGGCAGAAACGTTAAACATAAACATTCGCAGATCTATGTTTGTCTGTTTCACAGGCACTTGGGACGTCTCAATAAAACGAAAAATGTAAACACGAAATGTATTTACTACGAAAGTCTTAATGTTTCTCTACTCTATTTCGCCTATTATTGCCGATAATGACTTGTAAATGCTGTTCAAATGCTCATTTGCAACACACAAGTACACCGCACGCCCGCCCTGTGCACAAACAACATGAATAAGAGAGGTTGTATTTAATAGAAGGCTCTCTTATTCATGTTGTTTGTGCACAGGCCGGGCGTGCTGTGTACTTGTGTGTTGCAGATGAGCATTTGAACGGCATTTACAGGTGATTATCAGCAATAATAGGCGAAATAGAGTAGAGAAACAGTAAGACTTTGGTAGTAAATACATTTCGTGTTTACATTTTTTATTTTTATTGAGACATTCCAAGTGCCTGTGGTCTGTTTAGTACTGCCCATCCGATTCACTGGCTTTTTAATGAGAAAACTACAAACTGTTGAACGTTTCGCCCGGTAGTCGGGGGGGGGGGGGGTCGGGTGGGGGAGGCACTTCATTCTCGTAAATCACAATTGTCATAGTTTGTATTGCCATGGCGACACTATGGGGGAATTATTATTAGTTTCGTCCGTGCGTTTAGGATGCTAACTAGTAATTAGACGTGATTCAAACTCGGTTGTTAATCATGGTATTAGCCAGGAATGAGTATTGTGGGAGTGCAGAAAAAATATTTGGGAGTGCAATTTTACAGATGTACACGGCTTTAGATCAATATTTTAGGCCGTGTTACACATTTTTGGCCGTGCAGTTTCAAAACTGATCGTGCAAATCACGGCTGCATGGCTCGCTGGCTAATAAGTTGGTGTTAAGTGTGTGCAATAGATTGTGGAATGTGGACCTTTAGGGTATACTAGATAATAATGCGTGCAACAATTAAACCTAAGTTCTTTGCCTGTACATTTCAGAAAGAATGTTACTCCTATCAAACTGCGGATTGCCAAGCAACAGGCTCTGCAACAACAGCAGCAGCAGCAGCAGCAGCAGCAGCATGGGTCGACGCCGAAAAGGAAGCCAGGGAGACCACGGAAAACCACAGCGACGGACGACAGCCTAAAGCACAAAAAGATCACCAAAAATAACCACCAGGTACATGGCTGCAGTGCATTATCAGATATAGTGTAACCTTATTCATACATAAACTCTAGCTATCATTTAATTGTTGCTAAGTTCAACATACTGTGTTAGTGTTTTTAATGTGAGATGTTTCCACTATGTAAGGTTAGTGAGCTAGATTAATTTTTGTGAGGGGGAAAAACGAAAAAACCCAGGTAACAGTGTAGTGATACTAACCATAAATGCGATTAGAATTCATATAATATGTTACCGTTTGTAAATGCAATACATTCTGAGCGTATAGTTTGATATTGCATCAACCGTAATACCCATCACTACACTAAGTCTGCTTAGTCTATAAGGATTCTGCATGTTAAAATTACATGCCGGTGGGCGATTTTTCAAGATGAATCGATTCGAACGTGAATCGTGTTTTGCATAGTTGGAGGACGTGGAGTCTCCGCCGGAGGATGAGCATCATCACGAGATCCTCGTTAACGGACGCGGTCCCGGCAGCGACTACGATGACGCCCCGGACGACGAGCTGTCCGACAACTCCTCCTTGAGTCTCGACGAAGTCGGAAAACCCAGGAAGAAACGCATGAAATTCAACGACGGCAAGTTTGCTTGGCATCTGTGCCATCCTAATCCTCTGTCTAGCTATCATAGTGTGTCGATTTTCGAATTAGCAATTCTGCGACTGACCCTAGCTAGATATTTAACGAGTCAAGAAAGATTTTACCGCGAATGTATTTCAATTTTGTTACGGTCGTACGTGAAAATACCCACGATGCAGACTGCAGACATAATTTTTTAATACACGGTCGTTAGAATTTTAATTAATAGCAGCAGGCGTAGGTGCACGAGATCGACATGTGCTCGTCGTCACGGCGCGCGAAAGCAGACGTTGAGCGACGTGCGTCGATCGTGTTTTCCAGGTCTGGAGAACGGCGGCGGCAAGGATGGGATGAAGTGTCCCGACTGCTGCTACATGGCTCACAATCAGACGCGCCTGGACCAGCACCGCGACAAGGCGCACTCTCGCAACACCGTCTACCACTGCAGCATCTGCGACTTTGACTGCAAGTGGAACCGCGAGTACTACATGCACATGAAGACGCACTTCAGCGGACCGCCCTTCAAGTGCGACCAGTGCGACTACAGCACCGATCGCATCCAGCCGATCCTCTCGCACCGCATGAAGCACACCGACGAGAAACCGTTCGAGTGCACGGAGTGTGAGTACCGCTGCCGCACGAAGAACAACCTCACCGCGCACATGCGCTCGCACACGGGCGAGAAGCCGTTCCGCTGCGACGAGTGCGGCCGCTGCTTCGCGATCAAGTCGACGCTCGACCAGCATCTCGTGACGCACAGCGACGACCGGCCGTATCTCTGCGACACGTGCGGATTCTCCACCAAGTACCAGTCGCACCTGATCGCGCACAAGCGCATACACACGGGCGACGTCTACACGTGCCAGTACCCGAAGTGCACGTACTCGTCGCCGAAGAAGAGCCAGCTGAAGGCGCACATGCGCACGCACGCCGCGATTCGCTCGCACGTGTGCGCCGCGTGCGGCCGCGGCTTCGTCGAGAAGAGCCACCTGGTGAGACACGAGCGCATCCACCTGGAGGAGAAACCGTTTCGCTGCGCGCTGTGCGAGTACGGGAGTTCCCGTCGCGACAAGCTCAAGGAGCACGTCGCCAAGCACCACGGCGACGCCGCCACCGCGAGGGCCCCATACAAGGCGCGTCGGCAGCGGCGGCAGAACTACGACGCGGCGGCGGCGGCGGCGGCGGCGGCGTTCTCGCTGCAGCCTCCGCCGTCTCAGGTCGTCACGCAGCTGTCGCCCTACCTGCAGAGTCCGCCGCCGCCGCCGCCCGCGGGCCTCCCCGCGTCCGCCGACACCAGCCCCCCGCAGTCGCTGTCGTCGATGGGCCAGCAGACGAGCCCTCAGACGTCCGACTACCAGTTTGATGGGATGGAGGCGGGTGGAGGCAGCGACGACGCTCCCGAACACAAGGTGTTCGACCAGCAGGTGGCCGACGTGACGACTCACGTCATCGACAATATCAGCGTGCAGCAGATGGCCGTCGACATGACGCGCGGCAGCCTGGAGATGGCGCCACGCGCGTCCATCGACATCCCGCGCAGCCTCGCGATGGAGCTTGACCCTCGCATCGTGCAGCAGATGCAGCAGCAGCAGCAGCAGCAGCAGCATGAGATGGAGCGGGGGCTGTCCGGCTCGCTCGCGGGCATGTCGCAGGCTGGCTACCCCGGCCAGCAGTGCGACTTTGGAGGTTTGTCGGCCTTCATGGCTTTGTTTTGAACAGCAGTGGTCGATTCCCTGTAATCGCGCTTGGTTGGTTTTTGTCGCGCGTCGGTGCGACGGTGGTCGACGCCCCCTGTTGGCGGCTCGCCCCATTGTTTTCAGGCTGGCGGAAGCCGCTGCTAGTCTCGGTGTGGGAGGCGGAGATTTGCCGGGTCTTGGTACCGAATAGAGACTCGGGGGATGGTAACATAGCAGCTCGCACATCGCTTACGCTGCCGGTTGTACGGGATGCGAAGGTGGAGAAGGTGCAGTCCCGGGTGCGTTAATACCGCATCGGAGTGTGTGTAGTGTTCGCTACACAGCAGTCGCGGCTAGGTGCACAGTTTTACTGCCTAGCAGCAGTGGTCGTAAGCTAGCGAATGGTATTACCTCCCACACCCTTTGGTTTGCGATGCTCTGTGGAGAGAGCAGGTAGATGTCGGTGGTGCTGCGTGCAGACCACACGTGGCGCGAACACAGTGTGCGTGCACGTGTGGCGCTCACGCAGTCACCAAGTTGTGGTTTGAGAAGGCAGGAACACGTCCGTTTCCTTAGCTGGAAGGTCGACTGTGGCTGGAGTTTTCATGTTTGGCGGTCATCGGGGCGAAACAGACAAAACTATCTGCCGTGAGGTTGGAACAACGTCACCCACCGGAAAGCTTGGTCGGTACGCGGCCGAGTCGGTACGCGGGCGAGTGGATTTTACTTTTGAACTATTTTGATACCGAATTGAGAATTTATCATGATGTTTACGTGTTCGTGCGAATGTGAGTGTAAGCGTTCGCGTCGCGTTGAGGAGCGAGTGAGGTTTGACGTTTGGTCAGGGATTGACGTGGCCAGTCACAGGTGCGATGGCACTCCTTGCCGAGACGACTTGTCATGGCAGAGTGAGGTAGCAGCTTGGTAGACGCTCCGGAGGAATTATTCAAGCTCCACTTGTGGGCGAGAGACGACGGTGATGGCAATCGATTTTCTCTTGTGTAGAAGCGAACTGTGAAAGGTTGTCTGTCGTAGAGAGAGAGCATTGTTCCACGCCGTCGGTGCTCCTGATTTTTTTTCGCGATGGTTTTGGTTTGGAGGTTCGACGACACGTTAGAAAGTTGCCCGGTATCGTTAAGCTTAGTGATTCCTGAAGGCAGACTTTCTAGTGAGTGCATTTTTGGAAGCTGTGGCACAGGATGTCTTTCCTGTCTCTGCCACTCGTTGGTTTCTACGAAAAAATATCTAGTCCATATTGTATTTAGTCGGAAGTCTTTAGATGTCATTTTTATTTTCCCTGAAGTAAATCGCTATATTTTGCTGTCGTCGTGGAAACGTGATGTGTATCAAGTGATTGTGATTTTTCGGTGTATGTTACTTTTCAGTATAACTTCTGGATATGATAGTATATTGATACTAGTACTCGGTAGGTAGGTATTACTCATGGCTCACTCTATTTGACGGACCCTTGGTTGTAGCAGATCATCATTACACGCTAGGAAAGTGAGATTTGCTTAAGAATGTGGTACCAACTGGTAGCTATGATAATTGATAAAGTTTGTATGGAAAGTTTTATGTTAGATTTGAGTATGGTTTCATTTATTTTGAATGATGTGTAGATGGTGTGTTAGTAGCAGCTATATGATAGGACGTGAGGCATTACAGAGCCATCTGTAGATAGTTAGTCAACATGATTCCAAAGAATATAGTCATTATTGGCCACTGAAATGTCATTTAGATGAGGTTCAGTATGTGTAGTTATGATTAGCATGACAAAATATGTATTAACAATGAATGGTTCTTGTGTTATGTGGATGTGTATATTTGCCATGTAGCTTTTATATTTAAAGATATATATAGAGAAAAATAACGTTTTCGGAGAGTGAGATTTAAATTTAATACGAGATCATAGTTTAAAGATTTACTGTAGTCGTACTGAAGATCTTAGAAGAACTGCGAGAAAAGCAGCAGTATTGTGCCCCACATTAAGCCAAAGCCATGCTAGACACCCTAGAGGGTCTTATTTGTTGACCTTTGACTTTAGAAGAAAGTCATTGGTACCAGAGAGACCGGGTGAGAGGTAGAGAGAGAGACAGGGTGAGAGATAGAGAGAGAGAGAATGAGAGAGAGGGAGCTATTTGAGATAACGATGCCTGTTAAGTTTTTAATTTATTACGTATATTCAGGATAATTTATTTGATGTTGACGAGGTCACGTGGCGTTTACGTTTTTTGAATGTCTCGATGGTTAGAAGACTGTTTTCATCCAGTTACTGGTTGTGTGGTTTTTAGAGTTTAAAACGTTGTCGCCGTATTGCGGACGGTTGGAGGTCGCGAATCGCGATTGTACTTAGCAATGTTTGGATGAGTTGCATTTTTTGGGTAAAACATGACGCACGACCGATGACAGTTTTCGCACACAGAGTACTCCGCGATTTACGATCTGTGATGGCAACAAGCTCACGACTACTGTTGTACCACGATTCCACGGTCTGAAGGCATGCATACACGTGCGTGCGTGCGTGCGTGAGCATGTAAGAGAGAGAGAGAGAGAGAGAGAGAGAGTGATGATTATCTGTCCCGATCGCTTTCAATCACAAGTCACTGTCAAGGTCACGGCGAGCGTCGTTATTTTTGTACTCTTAAACCTGAGATTTGGTGGAGGAGTTTTTCAGATTCCGCCATTTCACGATTAGGTGTCGCGTTTACGTGTTCTAAATTGTCGAGCTATCGATGGCTGTTTAGTAGTTGTTTACTAGCTGAAGATCGTTTGTTTACGTCTTGGTGTCATGCTTGAAATGTAGACTAGACCCGAGTTGGGCGTTTGCGTTTCGGGCGGTTTTGCGGAGGACACGTGAGTGTTGTTGTACACGTGAGTACACTTCAGAGATTCAGCGGTTTGTTTTTCCTGACTGACAGAGAAAATGTTTTATCTCTACTGTAAGGATATTCGCGATGGATATATGAATGCATACGGTAGCCTCCCGCCAGCATCTTGTAAATGTAGCGTTATTTGTATTGCTTACTTTGGCATGAGATCTGTGAAGCTTGCTTTACGGCCACCGCGTGTGACAGATCCTCGCAGATTTTTATTTGCATGAAAGGCACTCATCCGAGACGATTTTAAGCGTGTTCTCCGTCAATTGTTTTAAGAGCTTTCTCCGTCAGTTTTTTATGTGTCAGGCTCACATTGGTTTTCATCTGATGCTGAGTGATGGCAGCATCAGTAAATGCATGCGTACTCTACACCACGATGGGTCCAGGTGTCTAGGACTGCTACAGATGCTTTCAAGTCATCGCTAAGAGCAGCATAGCATCTTCGATGTTTGCTCTCTCATCGAAGTGGTTCGTTAGGTTTGTGTTCCGTCGGAACGTCCGAGTGAGCGTCGTTCAGTGTGCTGTTATAGAGGGCGCTGCTGACGCGTTGAGATGTCATGTCTTCCTCCCTGACCTGCTTGCTGTTCAAGGTCGAGGAAGGTCACTGGGTTTATGATGAAGCTTATTGGTTGCTTATTGCATTTATGCGATCCCCCTTTACCCAATGCTCGTTTGTATATGGATGTGTTTTGCTGTATGATGCGCACAGTTTATTTTATTCTCATTATAACCCGTTCTGGTCGACTCTTGATGTGCTTATTGCTGTTTCTTCGTATTTGTCCCTCCTGCATGCATCCCCTCCCCGTCTTCCCTTTTTCGCTTATTTGTTTCAAGCGAGCTTTGTATTTGAACGCCCCTGGTGCCTGTTCCGTACAGTGGAAATTATTTACGAGTTGTCAGTGCTATGTGTGTTTTAGCCTGTAATGAAGGCAACGGTTAAGTCGAGTTGGCCTGATAATTCTTGCAATGCCGGGCAATGTAATAGCGTAGCAGTGTTCATCGTATATGGTTGTGACAATATCGGTGCGCTTTGTCAAGTATATATATATATATATATATATAAATATATATACACACATATATATATGTATATGTATGTATGTATATCACGATTCTTTCTACTTATATGTGTAAGATTGTGGGTAATGTAAAATTGTACTTTTAACTAACACTGCCTTTACCGCCTCCTCGTGCAAGCAGCATTTCTTCCCGTGCCCACTCCAGCACACCTCCCTCCGTCTCTCTATTATTCGTCCTCCCCTACTGCTCATGTGTGAACACCCACTACTCCGCTGTTTTATGCTGCTTCGGGTGGTTCTCCCCCATTTTTGACATCGGTCGTATTTGAATATCGTGCCACTGTTATTGACTCTTACAGAGTTTATTGAATGTTGGTGTAGCGTCATCGTTTCTTATATTCGTCACACAGTGTCGCCACAGTCAGCGCTGGGCCGTGGAGGCGGGCCTATATATCACACGCACACACAAACACACACACACGCACGCACGCACGCACGCACGCACGCACGCACACACATGCATACACACACGCACACACGCGCGCACACACACACACACACACACACACACACACACACACACACACACACACACACACACACACACACACACACACAACACACACACACGCACACACATGCATACACACACACACGCACACGCACACGCACCCACGCGCACACCGCGCCACACACACACACATACACACATACACACGCGCACACACCCACACACATACGCACGCACGCACGCACGCACGCACGCACGCACACTGCACACACACACACACACACACACACACACACACACACACACACACATACACAGAGAGAGAACAGTTCTTCCACTTCAGAAGTTATTTTTATGAGAATTTTTAAGATTAGTTTTAAATAGGGTTTTAGCCAACGTGAAATCGGTATCAAGACCGTGCTGGGGTGGGGGGTTGCAGGGCCGGTGGGTGGGTGGGGCTGGGAGGTTTCTGTAAGAGGGGAGTTGATGCATATAGTTGCAGGAGGAGAGGGGGGAGGGGGTTGATCAGAGAGAGGGTCCCCGCCCCGTGCTGACTGAGGCATTTAGCGATTTATCGACTGTGTACATTTGTAAATGTAGTAGAACGGCGTATAGATGTTGTACAGCTATAGTATATGTACCGGACAGTAATGCCGTGTTGTATTGTTAATATTATTATTATTATTATTTATTATTATTAACCCACGCCAAATTTGCTAAACCTGGGCGCGCGTGCAGTGCGGCCCATAGACGGCTTAGCTTTTATTTTTGAATAGATTTCTGGTGTTGAAGTCGGGATTTCGTGATTTCGCGATTTGTGAGAGCATGATTTCGACGTAGAGGTACTGAACATTTTCAATGGTGTATCGCTTGCGGGGTGGTGTCAGAATCGCGTCCCCCCTCATCGTTTTCTCCGGCGAGCGTTTACGTGCATGACTTTGCCAATGGCCAAGGGTCTTAACTCGTGCTTTTAACGTTTCTCTTTACGTTTGCTCACACTCGCGTCCGATTTGGCGATTATGAACCTTTGAACACTGATATATGGTAGACTCTCGAACCGGTTTGTGTGGGGAAACACTAATTTTTGTTGATCGCAGGGTCAAAATACGAAATAGAATTTATACACGTGGGTTAAGCTCATTTACAATGGACCCCTTTGCATTTTCCCAAGACTGCAATGATAAGTAAAAACGTCTTGTCTGTCGTAATTCATCAGGTCTTGCAGTGTTTATATATACGCCTTATCCTTCCGCAATATCTTACCCGGACGTGTCATGATGCATTTACCACTCTAACATCGCTACAGATTTAAGATGGCTACATGTTGCTTCCGTAACATCATTAAGTTTTGGAACATATCCCTTCTAACACCTTATTGGTAAGTGATCTATTCGCAATCATAGACATAATTATCATACAAATGAAATCATCAGAGTTGATTTTACTCAATTATATTTATTGTGCATTATTCCCCTTTTTATTTATTTATTACAGGTATTTACAGAGTATAGCTAAGGATGCATTCTACACAGAAAACGTCACAACTTGACAGCAAACCCTAACTGAAGATAATATTATAAGGCGTGTACAATATATATATATATATATATATATATATATATATATATATATATATATATATATTATACACATGATAATATCATGTCATCATCATGATATATATATATATATATTACCTCAATTAGGACCAACTACTGTCAGCAACAAGGCTCGCACAAACTTGCACAGATCGCAATTTGAATGGCTACTAACATAATATATACAAGTGACTCTTTCTTCAGTACATGCAGGCAGGCAATAAATACAGCAATAAATCGACAGAATATTTCTCACATTCGAGAGCACATGAAGACCAATATATTAATATTATAGTAATCACAAGTCAAGTACTTGGTATACTCGACGTCGTTTACATGGAGCAGTGCAAATTGGATATACTAAACATGTCTGCTCGGAAGTGCATGCAAAAATACGAGGCGAAATATTTCTAGCTTGCATGCACGTCCAGCAGAAATATCTATATATTAACACAATTCACACGGTATCAACCACTCCAGAGCGAGTTCTGTGTGACTTAATTGGAGACCTGTGGTGCAACAATGTGCCACACACATATCGCGCGCTTTCATGTAAGAATAGCTTATAAATAATGATAAGAGAATAACACGCATGCTATTGAAATCTGCTATAAACACAAGTTCCTGCCTGAAGATTAAGATCTAAAAGATACAGCAACAGGCGGTCACAGCGTAAATTTGCCCCTCATTTCCGAACTGCAGAACAAAGCCAAACTTGAGCATCAGCCAGCACCAGCAAGTTTTTTAGTATCATTTTCAGTTGAATACATTTTTAATTCTGCTACATAACCAATTTTGTCGTTAAATATTCCAAGGAAATGAATAAGAACTCGACCTCTGCTGATCGGTGGGTATATAGTATGATTGGTGACGATGGCTAGTGTGACAGGTTGTGCTCCGTCTGCCTGTGTTGATAACACAAGTTGTGCTTTGACGTTTATTTTTAGTCATTTCATACGCGGTGCTTATAATGTTCAATAACTTAATTACGGTTAAATATTAGTTCGCGATAAATACATTACTTTCATCGTATGTACCTGGTACACTGCATGCAAAAATAAATGTCAAAATACAACTTATTTTATCATCGCAACACGAAAGTGACTGCATTGCCTATAACAAATATAGGCAAATTTATAAAATCAGGTTTTTGGTTATTTCACATTCACAGTAAAAAGTAAAAAGTTGTACAAGACAAAAATCACCAATAATTTTACCAGCAATAATGCTGCACACCAGAGTGTTTTTATCTTTTAAATTATTCATCGTTTGCCGTAACTCAATGAGCTCTTCATCGTTTACATTACAGCCAAACATTGCCTATCTAGCGACACGCCTCGTAAATACTTGGTCTGCTTACTGAAAACAATAAATCACGAGGATATGTGAACTTCTGAAGAAATGCTGCTCGAAAAATGAAAAGAAGAAGAGATGCTACATGCTAAACCTCACGTGTATGTGTGTGCGCGCGCGGAGGGTGCATGCAGCATCAGTCCACAAGCAGCTGCTCCCAGCATATACTGGAGTTAATCACCTCACGGTCGACCCACGCCTCCCACTTGCACTTGAACTCTTCCCCAAGGTCGAGTTCGCGTCCTAACACGCTCTGCAGGTTGTTGTCGACGGGTTGGAACTCGGGGTCAAAGGTCGTGGTGGCAGCACTGTAGCGGCGGTTGTTGAAGCGATCGACGCACGCCCGCAGCGCGCACTCTTCTGCCTGGAAGTCCCACGGCCGCGCATCCACGTCTGCAACAGATGGAGCCACTTACACGCGAGCGACGGCAGGGACCTCGCCCTAACGTGGCGAGTCTACCGTTTACTTCATCAATGTACATCTAGGACTTGAGTCTACTTTTCAGAGTTTACGCATTACTTAGTAACGAAAGTTTGGCGAAACACATCTTCTACTTAACTTTTCTACTGATGAGGGGCGGAACAGTTGCCACGACGACGATCCTGCTATTATGGACCAGCAAGTTAACGAGGAAACCACAGGAACGCGTGAGAACAGGAGCGTCCTGGTGTTTACATCATTTATCAGCCGGGCCAACGGGATTGTGAAACCCGTTGCTGTGACAACGCTGTCACGCGCGTAACAACGTTGTTGCTCACCGTTTCCAAACGCCCAGTCGTCATTGAGTCGATGACGGACCTTCTGGTAGATCGCCGACATGGTCTTCATGTTGCTCTTGCGCCACTGCCGACCGAGGTACTTCGTCTGCGCCTTCAGCAGCTTGAGAACATAGAGCTGCATCATCACCTGCTTCACCTTCAGCGCCCTCTTCAGGATGGGAGCGGACTTAAACACGACCAACATCTGCAACGGCGACGAAACGCGTGAAAAAAATTATCCGGTATCGGGGAGCAAATCGTGCAATGTCGTGAAATGTGCGAAGAATACTATCACAAGAAATTGTATGAAGAAATATGAACAAGATGTTGTGAAATATGCTAAGTCGACATCCGTCTATTTGCGGCGGAGGGGAACATCTCGAAAGGATGGGATTTAGCCCAAGAGGAGCAAGACTTCAAAGAAGAATGGTAGTTCCGATAGTTTCACTTAGAAGGCGTTTACGAACCATCGTGCGAGAATGCTTCCACTTTGTGAGCTTGTTGAGAATGCGCAAAAGATTGATGCAGGAGTAGAGATTCCTCCAGCAGTACTGCGCCATGTCACCAGGTGTTGCCTCCTACAATGCGTCGAGTGGCGACACGCAAATAAACACATTAACCCGATATCCACGTCGATGCATCGTTAACGAGGCGGCGTTGAACGTGTTAAATGCAGATATTGGGCGGAGTCGCTACCTCCATCCCAGTTTCTATATCACACCATCCCACCACTTCACCAGGTGATGTCACAGAAGTTAATGCAAGGTAATCAAGGACTCTAGAGCGACTGCAGACATACAACGCCAATGCTGCTAAGGTGGTCGCTGCGATGGCAATGCTCGGCCAGTGCTATCACGTACCAGGGTGTCCGCAGTGAGCTCCGGTTGATCGCCGATCACGCACCGTGGGTAGTCTATGAGAGAGATTCTGCAGGAAATGCGGACAATGATTTCTCACTGTTATTCGGCTAACAAAGGATGAGGTCAACTGTATTGCAACGTACACCGACTTGTAGGAATTTCATCCATGCCTATTGCATGCCTGACTAGATTCACCATTAACGCATATCAAAGAAGTAACTAATTCTAATGGATTTCTGAATCTTGACAAGAAATTTAGATTAAATTTGATGAACAACTTTGCATGTAACAATGAATATTATTAATTGTTAATTATTTATTACAAAAGAATAACAATTAACAACAACAACAAAAATATAAAAAAATTAATAAAAAAAAAAATTTAAAAAAAAGAACAACAAGTAACAATGCAGTCCTACGCGATACTCACGTGTTTTTCGCTGTAATGTATGCCATGATGTTTTGGTTGAAGAATTTCAGCACCAGAGGTATACAGTTTGCAAAGACCAGATGTTGACTCATAAACTCAAACTGTAAGTACGACAGGTGTAAAGAACATGTAGTCCAACATACGAAGCATGTCAACATTACAGGGTGCGAACGAGAGTCCGGAGTCAAATACTCCCTGATTTGACATATGCAGGAGTCCGTGTGACTCCCTGAAAATTCTGCCATACTAACTAGTTCGTTCCGGAGCACGGCATCGCGGAATTACTGAATTTTTTCAGCTAATGTCCAAAGAAAATTTGGCAATAATGCATGAATCTTAAAAATAAGCACATGCGTTATTGTTAATATCTTTAATTTTGAACCTCAGACTGCGGACTCCCTCATTTTGCTGCGTACTCCCTCTTTTTGAGGGTAGGGAGTCCGTTGGGCTCGCTTGTTCAAAAGTTAATTTCTACCCCTGACATTACATCCAAGAAGGGAATCACTACCTTCAGCACACCCTTCCAATTCCAGCCTTAAACAAAGATAAGGCTACATGAAAATACAACCACCTTGCATACACCGTTGCAAAACTGACGTGCAATACACGCGCACGAACCACACATGTAATGTACATCGAACATGCGCACTGCTTCATGAAGGACTAACACAAGCAGCACATTAGGCGAGAATTTTTTATTTTGTTGGTTTACAGATCCGCCGACCCAAATTTTCAAGAAAAAATAAAAAAATAAAAATTGAAAATCTGAAAATCTTTCTTCTTTTTTTACCCTACCGAGTCAACAACAACAACAACAAAAATTCTGTAAACCAACAAAATAAAAAATGGTGGCCTTAGTACTGCGGGCACGCGCCGCGCACGGCCAAGCGCTAACCTGATAGATGTGGTTGATCTTGAAGTGCTTCAGCAGCAGCAGCAGGATGGAGGAGATCGCCTTGACGATGATCTCCTTGTGACGATTCACGTCGATGCCCAGCTTCATCGACTGCAGGACGGTCATGCTGCATCGCGACGAGAGAGAGAGAGAGCGGTCACGGTGAGACCCAACACGACACGATACATGACCTGCCCACAGACACCTCTCCCCCTCAGACACCTCGCACACGGCTGGGGACTCACCACGACACGATACATGACCTGCCCACAGACACCTCTCCCCCTCAGACACCTCGTGCACGGCTGGGGACCCAACATGACACGATACATGACCTGCCCACAGACACCTCTCCCCCTCAGACACCTCGTGCACGGCTGGGGACTCACCACGACACGATACATGACCTGCCCACAGACACCTCTCCCCCTCAGACACCTCGTGCACGGCTGGGGACTCGTGGTTTTGTTACTAGTCTAGTTAGTTCCGAATGGAAGGTTGAGTGTTTGCCTCATCATAATCTAATTACTATTGATGATCAGGTTGCTTTACTACATGACTAGTTTGATTATATTCACTCTTGATATATATATATATAAACATAGACAGACAAATATTTTAAACCACGAGTAGAGTACAGCAACAACGAGTATCACTCAACAACACAACACAACACAACACAAACGCCCTTAAAATAGCACTTCAATCGTTGCTGCGATTCTCGACACACGCACGCACGCACGCACGCACGCACACATCCATGCATGTATAATATACGCACGGCATTTCCTCTGGAAGAACATCAGCCATGATGTTGATCGAGTCAGTCTTGGCTTTGGACGTTGGCGCTGCCGCTAAGAGGATCTTTAGCAGAGCAATCTGTAAGAGAAAGCCACACGGCTAGGCACAGCTGAGCTGCTACATACATGTCGTACGTTGTCATCTTTGAGATGGAAGAAATTGGAGGAGTTCAGAACAAGAACGAGTATTCTGTACCTGGAGTTCATTAAACATGATGCACTGATATTAAAGAACTGTTCACAGTTCATACACACAGAACATGTGTTCCTCATAGGTTTTCTCTGAAGCTCATGTATGTAAAAGATCGGTTCAGACATGTTGGCAGCTAACTGCGGGTGTATTACGTTAATTATAATAATGGTGATCAATAATGACATTTTTTTGGGTAAATGATCGTCTCTAGCCCTGTTCATTCCTTTGAAAAATATCGCAAGAGCAAATGTTTTTTGTTTCCTTTATGAGTTTAATGGTCATAACTTATAACTTACGCATGTCCTGAGTTATCTTGGTGCGAACATTACCGGCATTATAGGAAAATCATCCTAGCCGATTTCCCCAAAAATGTACACAAGATATTCAAGATTCAACACACGGATGCAGGAGAAACTCTGCCTAGCTCACCATGTACTGTGCAAGACTAGGCAGCGTGTGTTGGTAGAGCAGCTCAGTCGGACTGTCCATCACATTGCACTCCGGCTTCGACATCGGATGCTTAGCTATCTCCTCCTCTCTCTTAACCTGCACCTCTGCCAGTGAGACGTACAGATGCTGCAGCGAATAGAAGAAAACCAGCGGTCAAGCGATGGTTGACCGAGGAAGCAACCGGCAGATACGAGCAAGGGATGCGCTTTACGAAAGTATCTCCGACAGATGTACAGAGTGTGTTCCTGACGCCTTCACACTAGTGAATCAATAAAGTAGTAATATATATATGTATAGGGTAACTAACTAGACATATACATATATAAATATATTATATACAGGGTTCCAAGAGCACTTAAGCCTGGCGGCCCCAGGCAATCGTCGACCCCGCCATCCTAAAATGCACCCACCACTCTAAATATCATAGCCCCCGAACCCCCCTAGCACGCAAACCGCCTTCGGCGATTTACAACTAGGACTGTAAAGCCAGCACCCCCATGCTATAATGAAAAAGCTTGGAGAACCCTGATATATATGTGTGTGTGTGTGTATGTATATAGTAGAAAAGTTATTAGGTTGTACGATATTCAGTTATAGTTAAAAAAATAATCCTACATTTAGTTTTACACAAGTGCTTTCATCTTTATCTTACATATGTAACTTACATTATGTAACCACTTTATTTTACATATGTATCTTACATATATATATATGTGACACTCTTACTGCTCCCGATCGCAACTTAATTGACTACGATCCCAAATGTCAGAAGTCGCGTCCAAACCATCAAAACTTAAATATCTTCACAACATAACTGACCGCTATCGCACGTATAACTGCCATCCGTTCACGCCCGTGTGTGAAAACAACCGCCATCGCGCGTATGACTGGCGGTCGTTAACGGCCGTGCGTCGTCGTAGAGACATACTCACAGCAGTGAGGACCTTGATGCCCTCGTGAATGGGTTGCGGCAGCCCCGCGAGTGACGTGCGGTCGCCCTGCACCTGGAAGCCAACAAACTTCTCGCGCGTGTAGTCTAGAAACGCGTCCAAGTCTCGCTGCCTGCAACGCAGACACACACGATACACGGTCACACAGAGATACACATACACGAATGTGTCGATGTTTGTGAACATGCCATAAGAACGGGTTAAGACAACATACACACGGTCACACACGTACACACGAAGACACACACACACAGTCACAGACGTATACACACGTATACACACGTACACATACACACGTAGACACCAGTGCGTTAGTGAATATGCCATAAGCTGGAGACCAGATGACCACTAGAGCTAGCATTGACCTTCAACACATTTATTTGTTTGGTTCAGAACGGGGACTTCTGACCACCGAGTTTGTAGAATACGTACCTGACTTTCGGAGTCCAGGGTAAGCCTTTAGCAGGAGGAGGTGGAGTCCCAGGGCAGGGTGAGTCAAGTCTTATCTCATCATCGCTGTTGTTTATCGCGTTATTGTCCATCTCTCTCGCAACCTCTTCATCCAAGCCATTCTCATCGTCATCCAAGCTCGACTGTTTGATCAAACCCTGTAAGACACGTGGTAGACGCTACAAACTAGCATCACTCCACACGCAATGATGGGGGTAAATCACATCGATTGCTTTTGCGTCTTTGCTGGTGGATTTAAACGAGCCAATATCCGAGTATATAACAACAGACTGTTTTCCATTTCATGTAGTTCTTACTCCCCGAATTTAATACCTATACAATAAAAGAATTGAAAGATTAACAAACACAAATTAAATGTGCTACACAACCTGGCAATCTGGTAAACACTTGTGAGTTACGACATAACACCTCAAACACCAGGCATGGAAACCATGTTAATTACTATATATAGGAAATATAAAAAAGTAGCACACCAATTTCTAACATACTATATATATATATAAACTACACACATAATGCACAACTGGTACTGAATGCAGGGTCTATAGACAATTTTTTACCATAAATGAAACTGAACACGGCACAACATGGCACACCAACCAGTCAATAACTGTAAGGTTATAGGTGAGATGACAGATACTACCTACCTACTATTTAGTTGTAACGTGAACAGGTGCCACTACTACTTACCATTTAATTAATTAACCAAACGAACCACCCATATGTATTTCTGATACGCTGTATATTTCGCAGTGGTTCAATTTTCGCAAATTTCACAAACGCGTTCCCGACCACAAAAATAACAGCACGCCAATAATTCATACCGAATAATACCGCATGATTCATAATTCACCAACCGCAAAATTAACCACTCGCGAAATTGTCCGTCAAGTTAGAATTCGTGAAAATATCTTTACGCGAAAAATATGGCATATACAGTACATGGTTTCCTTAACAAGTGCTGTTTGTTGCCCTGTTAACTAAGAGTAGTAAGAAATGCAAAATGTAACATTAGCCAATTAGGATTAAAAACATAAAACCATCAGACACAGGACAACGAGAGCGAAAAAACCAAGCCAGAAAACTGAAAAAATGTAAGAAAGGATTGTTATAAAAAATCTGTTAGTGAGAAATAGAGAAGTTGTTGTTAGTGTGAGACAAATAATCGTTGATCTACAGTAGGAAGCTAGTCGTGAAGTCGACCAACCGGCTCTGAATCTTCGCTCCTTGCACCGCTCAGGAAGCCGCCATTTTGATCACCGCCGTTTGCCGACTCAGCTTTCCACTGATCAGTAGCGGCTATCTTATCGCCGTTAGGATCAAGTGTAACAGCTTCATCAATGGGTGCCTATTCAAAACAGAAACAGCCATGGACCCACACGAGTGGACACGAGAAAAAATAAAAACCAACGAACATGCCGCACCTGTTGCACGTCGCGCGTTCGAAGCAACAGAAACAAGAGGACGGTGGTTTCCCAACATTGCTGAGTCCGTCTTCTTCACGTGCGACAGATACATATAAATATAATACCGGGTGTAAAATAACTCGGGGACACCAAACCTATAAAGGCCTCTAAGCGGCTAGATAAGAGAGCTATAAAGATCAAAAGCTCAATCTACTCGCTGTCTACCAACGCAATTTCATCGACTAACGAGTGCCTCATCAGCTAATATCCAGTTATAATAATGTTTGACAACACAAGCCGCACCTACCCCCTTTCTCGCTCGCACGATAGGACGGCGCTGCTGCTGCTGTTCGATCAGGTCGGCGGCCGACGCGGGCGGGGATGCCGCACGCATTGTCCTGGTAACGCTCACCGTATCTTCTGTCACGGGGCCCAATCCCTCGTCGGCCCTGTACGCGTTCTTCAACTCAAACAACTTGTGCATGCCTCCTAGCGACACCTGGTGGGAGCAATCGAAACTAATCAGATCACGAATCACTGCTACGACGAAGAACCCGAACGTATAATTTACTACGTCAGCCGCTGCCGCACGTTAACGAACTTACCAGGATTGTCTTCCAGAGTAGCAGCAAAACTTTCTTGATGGGAAAGTGAGGCGCACTACCGCTGCAGAACTTTGTAACCATGCCGAACAGAACTACGGCTAGTAGGTCGTCACCAAGGATGGGCTGACCTGCAAGCGTGTGGTAATGCGGGGTACGTGTGTCAGAACCAAAAATTAGTCTTAACGTTAAGCCTTAACGTTATCATTCTCTCATAGACTGTTGCCAGAAATAAAAATTAACCTAACATTAGCCTTAACATTATAATTTTCTCATACTCCGTTGACAGAAACATGATAAAGTTACGATAACCGCTCGTGGCGAGACCGCGTCCGTACCGAGTTCGTATCGGAACATGTTGATGAGCTGCTTGGTCGCATCGTCGTCGTCGGCTTCCTCGACTCTCGCATTCTCCACCATGATGTAGAGAACGCAGATGATGACTCGCAGATCAGTGCTGTCCGCGAGAGACACGGCCGGCTTACGCAGCGCCGCCGACGCTGCCGTGCTGTTGCTGCGCGACAAACAAGAGAGCGTCACCACGGCGATAACGAGTAGAAGGGGCATTGAGGAGGTGGTTGGTATCCCTCCTCTACTCCTGTGCTAGCTCCGCGAGCATCTTTGTGAAACAAACCGTGAACTGGGGCCGAGAAGAGCATTGTCGTGAACTTGCAAAGAGCATTGTCATGAACTTGCGAAGAGCGTTGTGGTGATCGGATGCCCACATGAATTAATCACTTGGTTCTACAGTTTCCCCCCTCTTACATCCTTGATATTGCAACAGCATCTTTATAAATACAATGTTATAATGTACTCATTTAACGCGTGTTTTACTTAGTGGAAATAACTTAGGAATGTACCATTGGACGAGGTATGATGATACTAATCCGTTAGCACGCGCGCTTGCAAAACGTTCACTCTGCTCCCATCGATCGCGTACGAGAACGTGGTGTATCGAGATGGTGACCACGTATTACTTACTCTATCTCCAAGTACAATAGTTCCACAAGAGCTGTGAACACACCACATTTGTAGAGGAGGAAGACCATATCCCGGCTTGTTTTCCACACCTCCTGCTCGCTGGAACCCTCTCCGAATACACCTGTAGAACAACATGGGAGGGAACTTTACTGCCGAGTGTGGCAGACACTATCCTATACAGAAAACACTCAGTAGCTGGTAAGAAAAACATTAGCACATTGTTGTGAGAGGGAGGTGGGGTGCTAACCATCCTACAGTAAATCTTTATTTTATGGTGCCCCAACTACATTATGTTCGTATGCCGAGAAACAAACTAGGAGGCAAATATCATGAACCGACTGAGATTCAAACCTCGACCTTTGCACGTTAGGCGGCTGAAACGGCGTGGAACGACGGTGCAACGTCACATGCAGTCGATCTGACATCATCCAATTTCCATATTATTCCACAAATCCAACTATACCTCTTTCAATACCACTTATCGCTAGAGGATGTTGAAAAACCGCAGCTTTGCATGGTGTGGACGACAGCGTGGCCAACATACCTTGTACAAGGTAGAGGTATGACCTGACGGCCTTCATTCGTTGACTCCTATCAGATATATCGGTGAGTTCCATCAATCGTAGGATGTGCTGCCGCTTCTCATCCGAGCTGAGCTCACACCACTTACTGGAAGCTATGAGAAGACTCAATATAGGGGTGGGGGGGGGAGCTTGTATGTACACTCACCCTACACTACATTACAGCCACAACTGCTCAGTGCACATGCAAAGCATCATATGGCAGGCACTTGGTATTAGGAGAAAATCCCCGTTATTTCACAGGAAACCAATTCAGAAAGGCTATCGGTTGAAAGAAAACATAACTCCAGTTATTTTTATTTATTGGAACTGAGTTTTACTTATCCTGCACAACTATTTATACTGTAATATCAATGGGAAATAATGAGAGTATCTGATGGCATTGCAACATGTTTGTTAATAATAAGTCTTTATAACATGAAAAACAATAAAAACATGGATGGCATTTGAACACACAAGATAAAGCGAACCTGGTTTATACTTACTGTACTGTTGAAGAAGCTCTTCGAAGAAAAGTTGGTTGAATTTAAACTCATTTTCCTCCGTGTAGCTGTACAACTCTAAAACAAAATATAGGTAATAACAATTAATTTAAATTTTAACTTTTCAACATTTTTGTCACTTAAGATAACATGTGTGCTATGATGTCATTTAAGCATTATTCTCTACATACCTGATATTTCTAAATGGTGTTTGTCAGCATCTTCATATAGAAAGTCTAGGTCGGGTGTGTCGGCAAACGTCTGAAAGCAACAACAAACATGTTTACAAATTGATCGAAACATGGGTCGGTTTTAGTCAGATTAGGTTGCTAATCAAAACGCAAATTAACCCAAAACACAAGTAGACGGCCATGTTGTCTGGTATTTAAATAGGTATGCCGCGAGTGAGCGAGCACCAGTTAGGCTGAGTTCCCCAGCCATGTTGTAAATATTCAATGTTGTTTCAGTCAAAACTCTGTGGATTGTGAACCATTTAGCACGAACGAAGGGCTACATGGGCAACCCCATCCTACGTAGTACAAAATTCTAATTGCCATGGCGCCACGCTGAAGTGTGGAACACCTACCCTTTGCCGTTACCCCAGCGGCAACACCTACCCTTTTTTTATTGGCCGTGGCTACGCGACCGGTTCCGGATGAGGAGCGCTAGGCTACGGCGTTCGGACATCCATCTCACACAGTGATCTTGCACACGCACACGCATGATGCGCAAGCGGGACGCTCTGCTGATTGCCGAGTGTGTGTGGGTGTGTGTGTGTGAGAGAGAGAGAGAGAGGAGAGAGAGGGAATGTGTTATGTTGTGATGCGCGAGAGAGAGAGAGAGAGAGAGAAGAGATGAGAGAGAGAGAGAGAGAGAGAGAAGAGAGAGAGAGAGAGGAGAGAGAGAGAGAGAGAGAGAGAGAGAGAGCGAGAGAGAGAGAGAGAGAGAGAGAGAGAGAGAGAGAGAAGAGAGAAGAGAAGAGAGAGAAGAGAGAGAGAGAGAGAGAGAGAGAGAGAGAGAGAGAGAGAGAGAGAGAGAGAGAGAGAAGAGCGAGCGAAAGGCGAGCGGACGGATGAAAGAATAGATGGCAGCAGTGCATATATTGTAATATTTTCAGCAATCAGCAGAGGCGCGGTCCCGTTGCGCAATCATGTGTGTAGCGCGATTCACGCGATCACTGTCGCGTGCGACTGTCTGGATCGTAGCTGGAAGCTAGGCGACAGTTCCGGACTGCGTTTTCTATTTATCTCCGGCAGTTAGCCGGCCACATATATTTTGTTTGCGTAAATATTGTTTGTTGTGTATGCACTAATAATTACCTAATTAATAAATAGACAAATAAAATCAAATTAAGGGTATATGACTCATTGGCTGTGTGACAGTGTGTAATTGAATCATGTAATGATGTAATCATGATCATGATGTATGACAACACACTACACAGGACTACAGGAGTAGCAGTGCCCCACGTCGATCCAGCTACAAGCTCCAAATCGAAGGATCAGTGTGACTTAAACATTTATCTTTGTATCTGAAAGTCAAACGACGCTTACTGGCTCCGAATCCCGACGCTGTCTTCTGAATATCTCCCGTAATTTTGGTAAACCAACAGCAGCAGCTCTCTTTAACGCACCACCTCCACCGACTTCCATTTTGTAGCGATGCCGGAAACGGAAGCCACCTAGCGTGCAATTATATAAATAACATAATAATTATTTAGATATCAAGTCTATAAATATATATAATATTGATAGACTCCTGATTATATTGTATATATTGTTCTCGGGTTTACGAACAAAATTAATGTGTCGCGGTTCATGACTAAACTGAAGCTGAGTAAACGCTTATGTACGCATATGTATGCGTAATATACACGTATTCATATAAACATACCTAATGACCGAATTATAATCGACTTCAGAAATACCGATCGTGCTTGAGAAATAACGCGCCAAGGTATCCCCCTT